ATTTTAATTCAGTTTTAAGTTTTTAATTTTAAGTTTTAAAAAGAAATCAAGATCAGCCGCCGCACAATTATTGTACTACACAGAGTCAGAGAGAGAGAGAGAGAGAGAGTGAGACAGTGCGAGAGAATGCATTCGGTGTTCAATGCTTGTGTATAATTTGTTGGAATTATTATTCCTACTTTAGGCTTATGTAACTTTTTTTAGAATTGACCTAGAGCTTCAGTAAAACCACCATATGAATCCTTAAAGTATCAGGATTCCCTCGATAAATTTCCATATTGCTAATTGACTTAGATCAGTGTTTTTTTGCCGTTTGGAAAAAATGAAGAAGATTCTTAGATTTTCAAAGATCGATAAAAAATAGTAAACATTAAAATATCGAATATTAAATTAAATAGAATCTTTATTATGTAGAGGACTAAATTTTGGCCAAAAATCGCATCGATTGATTAACGTGTTTAGCGTCCAGATTTTTTTTATAGAAATTAGGGGTTTTTTGCCACTGGAAGAAAATGGGGGCATGTTTGTGGCCAAAATAAATCTTAGCAAATCAGTTTAGTGTTATAAGAATTGAATGGTAAAAAATTTTAATAGGGTCATTTAATTAGTTTAGGCTGTGCGTTGATTCTTGGTTTTCAATGAACAGTTTTATATATATAGATTTTAATTCAGTTTTAAGTTTTTAATTTTAAGTTTTAAAAAGAAATCAAGATCAGCCGCCGCACAATTATTGTACTACACAGAGTCAGAGAGAGAGAGAGAGAGAGAGAGGAGACAGTGCGAGAGAATGCATTCGGTGTTCAATGCTTGTGTATAATTTGTTGGAATTATTATTCCTACTTTAGGCTAATGTAACTTTTTTTAGAATTGACCTAGAGCTTCAGTAAAACCACCATATGAATCCTTAAAGTATCAGGATTCCCTCGATAAATTTCCATATTGCTAATTGACTTAGATCAGTGTTTTTTTGCGGTTTGGAAAAAATGAAGAAGATTCTTAGATTTTCAAAGATCGATAAAAAATAGTAAACATTAAAATATCGAATATTAAATTAAATAGAATCTTTATTATGTAGAGGACTAAATTTTGGCCAAAAATCGCATCGATTGATTAACGTGTTTAGCGTCCAGATTTTTTTTATAGAAATTAGGGGTTTTTTGCCACTGGAAGAAAATGGGGGCATGTTTGTGGCCAAAATAAATCTTAGCAAATCAGTTTAGTGTTATAAGAATTGAATGGTAAAAAATTTTAATAGGGTCATTTAATTAGTTTAGGCTGTGCGTTGATTCTTGGTTTTCAATGAACAGTTTTATATATATAGATTTTAATTCAGTTTTAAGTTTTTAATTTTAAGTTTTAAAAAGAAATCAAGATCAGCCGCCGCACAATTATTGTACTACACAGAGTCAGAGAGAGAGAGAGAGAGAGAGAGTGAGACAGTGCGAGAGAATGCATTCGGTGTTCAATGCTTGTGTATAATTTGTTGGAATTATTATTCCTACTTTAGGCTAATGTAACTTTTTTTAGAATTGACCTAGAGCTTCAGTAAAACCACCATATGAATCCTTAAAGTATCAGGATTCCCTCGATAAATTTTCATATTGCTAATTGACTTAGATCAGTGTTTTTTTGCCGTTTGGAAAAAATGAGGAAGATTCCTAGATTTTCAAAGATCGATAAAAAATAGTAAACATTAAAATATCGAATATTAAATTAAATAGAATCTTTATTATGTAGAGGCCAAAAATCGCATCGATTGATTAACGCGTTTAGCGTCCAGATTTTTTTATAGAAATTGGGGGTTTTTTGCCACTGGAAGAAAATGGGGGCATGTTTGTGGCCAAAATAAATCTTAGCAAATCAGTTTAGTGTTATAAGAATTGAATGGTAAAAAATTTTAATAGGGTCATTTAATTAGTTTAGGCTGTGCGTTGATTCTTAGTTTTCAATGAACAGTTTTATATATAGAGACTAGCAGGGTGCCCGCAGCTTCGCTTGCGATGAATAACCCCAATATCCTACTTTTCTTATGTAATAAGTATGTGGACATGGGGCAGACCACGTTTTTGCTATTCAATAGAATACATAAAACACTGTACTTCACCAAACAATTGGCCTTTAACCAACAGCGCCATTAATGTTTTAACTTTTAAATGAAAGACTCGAGATATCAGGTCATGACGATTCTGAGGTTTTTGGCCTGGAAACAACTCATTCGTTATTTCCTCCCATTTAGGGTTACAGGTAAATGTTATAAAAATATCAGGTCGGCCATGATGTCGAACATAAGTCATAGCATCCTGGGTCTTTTCATGCATATATCGAGGAGAGCCTGTAAAAGTGGAAGGTAAAATCACCATCTGACCAAGTTGAGTCATATCTGCATCTCCCCTACCTATAGCGTCTTGAAGATGTACATATGTAACTTTCTGCTCCCAACTTTTTTTCGATTTGCTCGAATATAATTAAGCCGTTCGGTTTCCATTTTTGCACTCATATCAACCAAAAATTGATTAAACAGAGCTCAATAATAATGCACGTGATTGACTTTAGTCTTCCTTAGAATTATTCGATAACTGTAAAAGCTAAATGCAGATACAGTCTTCTTTAGATCATTTTTGTTAACGGATCCCGTTGGGGAATATTTATGGAATATCCATCATATCCGTGGCAAAAAATTAATGGATATTGTAGACAGTCATAAGATCTTTAAAGTTCACTTTGCTATTATGACTCTCAATAACAATGTCCCGACTTGAAAATTGTTGAAACCCACTTCATTTGTTTGAGGTGCATTATAACGACCTCTATGAGCATTTGCTGGCTTTTTATCAGCGTTAATGACCATTTTGAAGTCTTTGCAATCTTTTGGGTCACCAATAACTATAAACTAATGTCTACAGATATTAAAACCGTATTAAAGCTCATTTTATATTTTTAAGGAAGCGTACGGAAATGCAAGGCAGAGAGAGAGGGAGGGAGATGGAATCATTTGTTGACAATTTGTATGAAAATGCAGAGAGAGATAGCAATATGCAGGCAGAAAACGTATGATGCTTATGGAGACACTTAAATTCGATAAAAGATCGACTTTTTGCTTAATTTCTTTGTTTAGAAGATAGCTAGAGCTTTGGTGAAACCATTAAATGAATCGTTAAAGCTTAAGGAAAAACTTTACCGAAGGAATTTTTGATACTCAGTTTGAAGATATTTTTGGCTAAATTGTAATTTTAGAACGGGTGTTAAAAATAGTAAAAAGCCTTAAATCTAAGCGGTCAAATTTTTTAAACATTTATAATGTCTTAAACTATTTTTGGGCAAAAACGGATTCGATTGCTAAAACGGTTTAGCGTCCAGAATTTTTGAAAGGAAAGTTGACCTTTTTTCCAATTGGAATCGATTGGGGCCACTTGGGGAGCCCCAGTTTTCTTACTGATAGCTTTATATATAGAGATGATGACTGCCCCCCTGCCCTTTTCACAAAGCCCAGCGGCTTGAACGCTTTGACGGTTTATTCGTGTGTGTTGCTTGTATAATTTAATTTTAATTTATTGTTAATTTATTGTTAAGTTAAATTTAGTTTTAAGTTTTTAATTTTAAGTTTTAACAAGAATGGAAAGCTAACTTCGGGCGGAGCCGAAGTTGATATACCCTTGCAGAATACAATACAATTTGTATTCTGTAAATTCTTCAAAATTTGAATTGAACATATCTACCCTTTTCAGCCTCTTATATAATGCAAGGGAGTGACAGTAACGGGCAGTAACGGTCATAAAAATTACGACTGGGTTTACATGCTTTAGTTTACAACCCATTACTTTTTAGATAACAGAGACATTTTTTTTAAGAAATCCACGGGATTATCCCATTATAACCTGATAAACAGGTAATGTTTGGCAATCGTTCAATTGGTTCAATGAACACGTGCAAGGGCAGGAATTGTACAAAGGTCCTGAATTTCGCAACCGGTAACGCAGGTATGAGTGCAATTATAGAGTGCCTTTGTAACTGTACAATATCAGGTAATATACCTTTTTTGATTGGTCGAATCGGAAAAAATAGCACTACAAATTAGGACCAAAATTATTCATAACATTTAAATTGCACAACAGGTAGTACAGGTACATAAAAAAACATGACTTTTATTGCCTTTTTTAAAAGGGTCAAACTAGGGAACCTTTAAAGGGTCTAGGGATAATTCTTTTTAATTTGGGATATTACCTAACTTTGCTATATATTTAGAAATCCTATAATCCGTAGATCAGTCAATGAAAAAATTTATCGAGTGACGACGTTACTCTGTCTGTTACAAGGTGAAAAATTATTTTTTACAAGTGATAAAAATTATTTTTTACAAGTGATACAAATTATTTTTTACAAGTGATAAAAATTATTTTTTACAAGTGATAAAAATTAAATGTAATAGCGTGCTATTCGAAACACAAACATTTTACTAATGACTTTCAAATTCTCCTAAAATGGCATTCCATGCAGGTGATTTTATATATATATAATTTCATAATTTTTATTTTTTCATGCAGCACTATAAAAAATGCCACGTGTATCACATTTGTCACAGGAGCAACGTCGCCAAGCTGCTTTAAGTCGCAGTAGAGCCCGCTATGAACGGAATGCGTCCCAAATAAGAGCTCGAAACTCTCAACATATCGCCAATGTTCGCGACAATAACCCTAACTTTCGGGAGGAAAGTCGTGCTCAGGATTCCACTGCCCGCGCGCAGCGGAGAAGAAGTGAAAGGGTTCGCAACCTTGAACGGATTCGGGACGCACAAGCGCATTCAAATCGCCGGGAGGACTCTGAGGAGCGAAGACAAGAGCAGTTCCGAAACACTGCTGAGCATGCGTCTCGGAGGACTAACCCAGAAATGCGTTCTGCGGAGCGTATTCAGGATGCTGCAAGACATTCGAATCGTCGACAGGACTCTGAGGAGCGAAGACAAGAGCAGTTGCGAAACACTGCTGAGCATGCGTCTCGGAGGACTAACCCAGAAATGCGTTCTGCGGAGCGTATACAGGATGCTGCAAGGCATTCGAATCGTCGACAGGACCTGGACTATCGTGTCTCAGAGCGGACTCGGGATATGGAGGCACGCGCGACCCGTCGACAGGACTCTGAGGAGCGAAGACAAGAGCAGTTGCGAAACACTGCTGAGCATGCGTCTCGGAGGACTAACCCAGAAATGCGTTCTGCGGAGCGTATACAGGATGCTGCAAGGCATTCGAATCGTCGACAGGACCTGGACTATCGTGTCTCAGAGCGGACTCGGGATATGGAGGCACGCGCGACCCGTCGACAGGACTCTGAGGAGCGAAGACAAGAGCAGTTGCGAAACACTGCTGAGCATGCGTCTCGGAGGACTAACCCAGAAATGCGTTCTGCGGAGCGTATACAGGATGCTGCAAGGCATTCGAATCGTCGACAGGACCTAGACTATCGTGTCTCAGAGCGGACTCGGGATATGGAGGCACGCGCGACCCGTCGACAGGACTCTGAGGAGCGAATACAAGAGCAGTTGCGAAACACTGCTGAACACTCTACTCGGAGGGCTATTCCGGAGCTTCGAATTCCTGAACGGATTCGGGACATGGAGGCACACGCGATCCGTCGAGAGGACCCCGAGGATCGACGACGAGAGCAGTTGCGAAACACTGCTGAGCACTCAACTCGGAGGACTATTCCGGAGTACCGAAATCCTGAGCGGGTACGGGACGCCGCAGCGCGTGCTATTCGTCGAGAGGACACAGAGGAGCGGCGACAAGAGCAGGTGCAAAATACTGCTGACCATGCCACTCGGAGGAACAATCCCGAATTTCGAATTTCAGAGCGGATTCGGGACGCCGCAGCAAGAGCTGCTCATCGCGAGGACCCAGAGGAACGTGCAAGGGAACAGGAAAGGAACACTGGAGAGCACCGACAGCGACGAAGGGATATGGAAGACAGGCAGCGAGAACAGGAAAGGGACGCCGATAACAGGAGAGCAACCAGGAGAAATCCCATCGCTAGATCACAGGAGCAACGGATAAACACATCACAACGCCGGGAAACACGACAACAGCGGAGGATTCGAGAAGAACAAATTCGGCAAATGGCAGAGGATCGATTATTAAACTTTAGGATGGACTCACAAAATCGACTGGATGCCTCCCAAAGGCAGTCACAAAGAAACATGGACGCAAGAGCTCAACTTTCGGAGGATGAACTGGAACAGGAACGAGGACAACAGCGAAATAGGATTCGATCATCAGCGAGGGATCTGTATCACAGGAACATTAAGGAAGGCAAATCAGTTTAGTGTTATAAGAATTGAATGGTAAAAAATTTTAATAGGGTCATTTAATTAGTTTAGGCTGTGCGTTGATTCTTGGTTTTCAATGAACAGTTTTATATATATAGATTTTAATTCAGTTTTAAGTTTTTAATTTTAAGTTTTAAAAAGAAATCAAGATCAGCCGCCGCACAATTATTGTACTACACAGAGTCAGAGAGAGAGAGAGAGAGAGAGAGGTGAGAAGTGCGGGAGAGAATGCATTCGGTGTTCAATGCTTGTGTATAATTTGTTGGAATTATTATTCCTACTTTAGGCTAATGTAACTTTTTTTAGAATTGACCTAGAGCTTCAGTAAAACCACCATATGAATCCTTAAAGTATCAGGATTCCCTCGATAAATTTTCATATTGCTAATTGACTTAGATCAGTGTTTTTTTGCCGTTTGGAAAAAATGAGGAAGATTCCTAGATTTTCAAAGATCGATAAAAAATAGTAAACATTAAAATATCGAATATTAAATTAAATAGAATCTTTATTATGTAGAGGCCAAAAATCGCATCGATTGATTAACGCGTTTAGCGTCCAGATTTTTTTATAGAAATTGGGGGTTTTTTGCCACTGGAAGAAAATGGGGGCATGTTTGTGGCCAAAATAAATCTTAGCAAATCAGTTTAGTGTTATAAGAATTGAATGGTAAAAAATTTTAATAGGGTCATTTAATTAGTTTAGGCTGTGCGTTGATTCTTAGTTTTCAATGAACAGTTTTATATATAGAGACTAGCAGGGTGCCCGCAGCTTCGCTTGCGATGAATAACCCCAATATCCTACTTTTCTTATGTAATAAGTATGTGGACATGGGGCAGACCACGTTTTTGCTATTCAATAGAATACATAAAACACTGTACTTCACCAAACAATTGGCCTTTAACCAACAGCGCCATTAATGTTTTAACTTTTAAATGAAAGACTCGAGATATCAGGTCATGACGATTCTGAGGTTTTTGGCCTGGAAACAACTCATTCGTTATTTCCTCCCATTTAGGGTTACAGGTAAATGTTATAAAAATATCAGGTCGGCCATGATGTCGAACATAAGTCATAGCATCCTGGGTCTTTTCATGCATATATCGAGGAGAGCCTGTAAAAGTGGAAGGTAAAATCACCATCTGACCAAGTTGAGTCATATCTGCATCTCCCCTACCTATAGCGTCTTGAAGATGTACATATGTAACTTTCTGCTCCCAACTTTTTTTCGATTTGCTCGAATATAATTAAGCCGTTCGGTTTCCATTTTTGCACTCATATCAACCAAAAATTGATTAAACAGAGCTCAATAATAATGCACGTGATTGACTTTAGTCTTCCTTAGAATTATTCGATAACTGTAAAAGCTAAATGCAGATACAGTCTTCTTTAGATCATTTTTGTTAACGGATCCCGTTGGGGAATATTTATGGAATATCCATCATATCCGTGGCAAAAAATTAATGGATATTGTAGACAGTCATAAGATCTTTAAAGTTCACTTTGCTATTATGACTCTCAATAACAATGTCCCGACTTTAAAATTGTTGAAACCCACTTCATTTGTTTGAGGTGCATTATAACGACCTCTATGAGCATTTGCTGGCTTTTTATCAGCGTTAATGACCATTTTGAAGTCTTTGCAATCTTTTGGGTCACCAATAACTATAAACTAATGTCTACAGATATTAAAACCGTATTAAAGCTCATTTTATATTTTTAAGGAAGCGTACGGAAATGCAAGGCAGAGAGAGAGGGAGGGAGATGGAATCATTTGTTGACAATTTGTATGAAAATGCAGAGAGAGATAGCAATATGCAGGCAGAAAACGTATGATGCTTATGGAGACACTTAAATTCGATAAAAGATCGACTTTTTGCTTAATTTCTTTGTTTAGAAGATAGCTAGAGCTTTGGTGAAACCATTAAATGAATCGTTAAAGCTTAAGGAAAAACTTTACCGAAGGAATTTTTGATACTCAGTTTGAAGATATTTTTGGCTAAATTGTAATTTTAGAACGGGTGTTAAAAATAGTAAAAAGCCTTAAATCTAAGCGGTCAAATTTTTTAAACATTTATAATGTCTTAAACTATTTTTGGGCAAAAACGGATTCGATTGCTAAAACGGTTTAGCGTCCAGAATTTTTGAAAGGAAAGTTGACCTTTTTTCCAATTGGAATCGATTGGGGCCACTTGGGGAGCCCCAGTTTTCTTACTGATAGCTTTATATATAGAGATGATGACTGCCCCCCTGCCCTTTTCACAAAGCCCAGCGGCTTGAACGCTTTGACGGTTTATTCGTGTGTGTTGCTTGTATAATTTAATTTTAATTTATTGTTAATTTATTGTTAAGTTAAATTTAGTTTTAAGTTTTTAATTTTAAGTTTTAACAAGAATGGAAAGCTAACTTCGGGCGGAGCCGAAGTTGATATACCCTTGCAGAATACAATACAATTTGTATTCTGTAAATTCTTCAAAATTTGAATTGAACATATCTACCCTTTTCAGCCTCTTATATAATGCAAGGGAGTGACAGTAACGGGCAGTAACGGTCATAAAAATTACGACTGGGTTTACATGCTTTAGTTTACAACCCATTACTTTTTAGATAACAGAGACATTTTTTTTTAAGAAATCCACGGGATTATCCCATTATAACCTGATAAACAGGTAATGTTTGGCAATCGTTCAATTGGTTCAATGAACACGTGCAAGGGCAGGAATTGTACAAAGGTCCTGAATTTCGCAACCGGTAACGCAGGTATGAGTGCAATTATAGAGTGCCTTTGTAACTGTACAATATCAGGTAATATACCTTTTTTGATTGGTCGAATCGGAAAAAATAGCACTACAAATTAGGACCAAAATTATTCATAACATTTAAATTGCACAACAGGTAGTACAGGTACATAAAAAAACATGACTTTTATTGCCTTTTTTAAAAGGGTCAAACTACGGAACCTTTAAAGGGTCTAGGGATAATTCTTTTTAATTTGGGATATTACCTAACTTTGCTATATATTTAGAAATCCTATAATCCGTAGATCAGTCAATGAAAAAATTTATCGAGTGACGACGTTACTCTGTCTGTTACAAGTGCAAAAATTATTTTTTACAAGTGATAAAAATTATTTTTTACAAGTGATACAAATTATTTTTTACAAGTGATAAAAATTATTTTTTACAAGTGATAAAAATTAAATGTAATAGCGTGCTATTCGAAACACAAACATTTTACTAATGACTTTCAAATTTTCCTAAAATGGCATTCCATGCAGGTGATTTTATATATATATAATTTCATAATTTTTATTTTTTCATGCAGCACTATAAAAAATGCCACGTGTATCACATTTGTCACAGGAGCAACGTCGCCAAGCTGCTTTAAGTCGCAGTAGAGCCCGCTATGAACGGAATGCGTCCCAAATAAGAGCTCGAAACTCTCAACATATCGCCAATGTTCGCGACAATAACCCTAACTTTCGGGAGGAAAGTCGTGCTCAGGATTCCACTGCCCGCGCGCAGCGGAGAAGAAGTGAAAGGGTTCGCAACCTTGAACGGATTCGGGACGCACAAGCGCATTCAAATCGCCGGGAGGACTCTGAGGAGCGAAGACAAGAGCAGTTCCGAAACACTGCTGAGCATGCGTCTCGGAGGACTAACCCAGAAATGCGTTCTGCGGAGCGTATTCAGGATGCTGCAAGACATTCGAATCGTCGACAGGACTCTGAGGAGCGAAGACAAGAGCAGTTGCGAAACACTGCTGAGCATGCGTCTCGGAGGACTAACCCAGAAATGCGTTCTGCGGAGCGTATACAGGATGCTGCAAGGCATTCGAATCGTCGACAGGACCTGGACTATCGTGTCTCAGAGCGGACTCGGGATATGGAGGCACGCGCGACCCGTCGACAGGACTCTGAGGAGCGAAGACAAGAGCAGTTGCGAAACACTGCTGAGCATGCGTCTCGGAGGACTAACCCAGAAATGCGTTCTGCGGAGCGTATACAGGATGCTGCAAGGCATTCGAATCGTCGACAGGACCTGGACTATCGTGTCTCAGAGCGGACTCGGGATATGGAGGCACGCGCGACCCGTCGACAGGACTCTGAGGAGCGAAGACAAGAGCAGTTGCGAAACACTGCTGAGCATGCGTCTCGGAGGACTAACCCAGAAATGCGTTCTGCGGAGCGTATACAGGATGCTGCAAGGCATTCGAATCGTCGACAGGACCTAGACTATCGTGTCTCAGAGCGGACTCGGGATATGGAGGCACGCGCGACCCGTCGACAGGACTCTGAGGAGCGAATACAAGAGCAGTTGCGAAACACTGCTGAACACTCTACTCGGAGGGCTATTCCGGAGCTTCGAATTCCTGAACGGATTCGGGACATGGAGGCACACGCGATCCGTCGAGAGGACCCCGAGGATCGACGACGAGAGCAGTTGCGAAACACTGCTGAGCACTCAACTCGGAGGACTATTCCGGAGTACCGAAATCCTGAGCGGGTACGGGACGCCGCAGCGCGTGCTATTCGTCGAGAGGACACAGAGGAGCGGCGACAAGAGCAGGTGCAAAATACTGCTGACCATGCCACTCGGAGGAACAATCCCGAATTTCGAATTTCAGAGCGGATTCGGGACGCCGCAGCACGAGCTGCTCATCGCGAGGACCCAGAGGAACGTGCAAGGGAACAGGAAAGGAACACTGGAGAGCACCGACAGCGACGAAGGGATATGGAAGACAGGCAGCGAGAACAGGAAAGGGACGCCGATAACAGGAGAGCAACCAGGAGAAATCCCATCGCTAGATCACAGGAGCAACGGATAAACACATCACAACGCCGGGAAACACGACAACAGCGGAGGATTCGGGAAGAACAAATTCGGCAAATGGCAGAGGATCGATTATTAAACTTTAGGATGGACTCACAAAATCGACTGGATGCCTCCCAAAGGCAGTCACAAAGAAACATGGACGCAAGAGCTCAACTTTCGGAGGATGAACTGGAACAGGAACGAGGACAACAGCGAAATAGGATTCGATCATCAGCGAGGGATCTGTATCACAGGAACATTAAGGAAGGCCCAACGGTTATTTGTATTTGCTGTGGAGGAACATGGTTCCGTTCGCAGGTAAGTGGATTATCCATCCTGGCTATCTCCTCTAAATTTCCTCTCCTAAACGTTGGCAACGCCTTTTATTTGTCAAGAAAATTTCCCAGTCCGTCCGGCAAATATAACTTTTGCCACACTTGTCGTCGTGCCATTTCTCTTGGCAAACTCCCATTACTCTGCCTTTCTAATGGGTTCGATTTCCCAGAAATCCCTGAGTGCTTAAATGGACTCACCTGCCTCGAAGAACGCCTTATTTCACCGAGAATCCCTTTTATGAGGATTATTTCCCTCGGCTATGAAAGGCAATGTGGAATCAGAGGGGCAGTGGTGAATGTTCCAATTTCAGTTCCCGATATTGTGACTGCGCTTCCACGCTCTTTCGACTCTACCCATGTCATCCAAGTCCATTTAAAAAGGAGACTAGAGTACGCTCACAATTTCATGACTGAAACTATTCGACCCGCTCGGGTCCTTGAAGCTGTACGGTACTTAGTAAATACCGAGCTCTACAGAAAACACAACATTTCACTAAACGAATCATGGCTAACAGAACTTCAAGGAATTAATGATATTCCTTTTATTGCGGACGAATCTGATCGCGAAGCAGTAGAGCAACTTCTTCACCAGCAGCACCACTCCCAAAATGCTGCAGAGCTCGAAGAAAATTTAAATCCCGGAGGCCATGAAACATTATTGGAAAATAATGATACTGCAATTCAGCGCATTGCATTGGCACCAGGTGAAGGCCGTCGGCCAACAAGCTTAACGCTTGACGAAGACGCAGAGGAACTTTCCTTTCCAACTATTTCTTGCGGAGAAATATTTAAAGGAAATACAACCTATGCGAAAAAAGCCAGATCCCAAATCCGTTTTTACGACCGTCGTTGCGCTGTAGTTCCAAAAGTTTTATACATGTATAAATTTTACGAAATGCAGCGCATACAAAATTCAATTTCAATTGCTTTACGCAAAAAGTCAGGAGCGGTTACCGCTGGTAATCTGCGGGATGAATCATTTGTTGACCGTCTTGTGCAACATGATGATGGCTACCACATCCTGAAAGGCTTACGGTCTGCACCAGCTCATTGGGAGGCTGAGAAAAAAAAAGTTATAGCCATGATTCGACAATTTGGGCTGCCAACGTTTTTTATAACTCTTTCCGCTGCTGAAAGTAAGTGGAATGAACTTTTAGTTATCCTGTCTCTTCTATTGGATAATAGGGCTATAAGCGAGGAAGAAGCGGCAGCTCTTTCCAGCTCCGAAAAGGCTCGGTTAATCCGATCCGATCCAGTGACGTGCTCTCGATACTTCGATTGCCTCCAAATTGCGGCACTTGCCTGATTTGGTTCAGGGCTTGATTTAGATGGTTTTCTGACAATAATATCACTGGTTCTGCCATTTTTGGTTTTTTATTTAGTTTTATTCTTGGTTTTGCGTTGATTCTTGGTTTTCAATGAACAGTTTTATATATATAGATTTTAATTCAGTTTTAAGTTTTTAATTTTAAGTTTTAAAAAGAAATCAAGATCAGCCGCCGCACAAATATTGTACTACACAGAGTCAGAGAGAGAGAGAGAGAGAGAGAGAGAGAGAGAGAGTGCGAGAGAATGCATTCGGTGTTTAATGCTTGTGTATAATTTGTTGGAATTATTAGTCCTACTTTAGGCTAATGTAACTTTTTTTAGAATTGACCTAGAGCTTCATTAAAACCACCATATGAATCCTTAAAGTATCAGGATTCCCTCGAAAAATTTCCATATTGCTAATTGACTTAGATCAGTGTTTTTTTGCCGTTAGGAAAAAATGAGGAAGATTCCTAGATTTTCAAAGATCGATAAAAAATAGTAAACATTAAAATATCGAATATTAAATTAAATAGAATCTTTATTATGTAGAGGACTAAATTTTGGCCAAAAATCGCATCGATTGATTAACGCGTTTAGCGTCCAGATTTTTTTATAGAAATTGGGGGTTTTTTGCCACTGGAAGAAAATGGGGGCATGTTTGTGGCCAAAATAAATCTTAGCAAATCAGTTTAGTGTTATAAGAATTGAATGGTAAAAAATTTTAATAGGGTCATTTAATTAGTTAAGGCTGTGCGTTGATTCTTGGTTTTCAATGAACAGTTTTATATATATAGATTTTAATTCAGTTTTAAGTTTTTAATTTTAAGTTTTAAAAAGAAATCAAGATCAGCCGCCGCACAATTATTGTACTACACAGAGTCAGAGAGAGAGAGAGAAAGTGAGACAGTGCGAGAGAATGCATTCGGTGTTCAATGCTTGTGTATAATTTGTTGGAATTATTATTCCTACTTTAGGCTAATGTAACTTTTTTTAGAATTGACCTAGAGCTTCAGTAAAACCACCATATGAATCCTTAAAGTATCAGGATTCCCTCGATAAATTTCCATATTGCTAATTGACTTAGATCAGTGTTTTTTTGCCGTTTGGAAAAAATGAAGAAGATTCTTAGATTTTCAAAGATCGATAAAAAATAGTAAACATTAAAATATCGAATATTAAATTAAATAGAATCTTTATTATGTAGAGGACTAAATTTTGGCCAAAAATCGCATCGATTGATTAACGTGTTTAGCGTCCAGATTTTTTTATAGAAATTAGGGGTTTTTTGCCACTGGAAGAAAATGGGGGCATGTTTGTGGCCAAAATAAATCTTAGCAAATCAGTTTAGTGTTATAAGAATTGAATGGTAAAAAATTTTAATAGGGTCATTTAATTAGTTTAGGCTGTGCGTTGATTCTTGGTTTTCAATGAACAGTTTTATATATATAGATTTTAATTCAGTTTTAAGTTTTTAATTTTAAGTTTTAAAAAGAAATCAAGATCAGCCGCCGCACAATTATTGTACTACACAGAGTCAGAGAGAGAGAGAGAGAGTGAGACAGTGCGAGAGAATGCATTCGGTGTTCAATGCTTGTGTATAATTTGTTGGAATTATTATTCCTACTTTAGGCTAATGTAACTTTTTTTAGAATTGACCTAGAGCTTCAGTAAAACCACCATATGAATCCTTAAAGTATCAGGATTCCCTCGATAAATTTCCATATTGCTAATTGACTTAGATCAGTGTTTTTTTGCCGTTTGGAAAAAATGAAGAAGATTCTTAGATTTTCAAAGATCGATAAAAAATAGTAAACATTAAAATATCGAATATTAAATTAAATAGAATCTTTATTATGTAGAGGACTAAATTTTGGCCAAAAATCGCATCGATTGATTAACGTGTTTAGCGTCCAGATTTTTTTTATAGAAATTAGGGGTTTTTTGCCACTGGAAGAAAATGGGGGCATGTTTGTGGCCAAAATAAATCTTAGCAAATCAGTTTAGTGTTATAAGAATTGAATGGTAAAAAATTTTAATAGGGTCATTTAATTAGTTTAGGCTGTGCGTTGATTCTTGGTTTTCAATGAACAGTTTTATATATATAGATTTTAATTCAGTTTTAAGTTTTTAATTTTAAGTTTTAAAAAGAAATCAAGATCAGCCGCCGCACAATTATTGTACTACACAGAGTCAGAGAGAGAGAGAGAGAGAGAGTGAGACAGTGCGAGAGAATGCATTCGGTGTTCAATGCTTGTGTATAATTTGTTGGAATTATTATTCCTACTTTAGGCTAATGTAACTTTTTTTAGAATTGACCTAGAGCTTCAGTAAAACCACCATATGAATCCTTAAAGTATCAGGATTCCCTCGATAAATTTTCATATTGCTAATTGACTTAGATCAGTGTTTTTTTGCCGTTTGGAAAAAATGAAGAAGATTCTTAGATTTTCAAAGATCGATAAAAAATAGTAAACATTAAAATATCGAATATTAAATTAAATAGAATCTTTATTATGTAGAGGACTAAATTTTGGCCAAAAATCGCATCGATTGATTAACGTGTTTAGCGTCCAGATTTTTTTTTATAGAAATTGGGGTTTTTTGCCACTGGAAGAAAATGGGGGCATGTTTGTGGCCAAAATAAATCTTAGCAAATCAGTTTAGTGTTATAAGAATTGAATGGTAAAAAATTTTAATAGGGTCAATTAATTAGTTTAGGCTGTGCGTTGATTCTTGGTTTTCAATGAACAGTTTTATATATATTTTTTTTAATTCAGTTTTAAGTTTTTAATTTTAAGTTTTAAAAACAAATCAAGATCAGCCGCCGCACAAATATTGTACTACACAGAGTCAGAGAGAGATAGAGAGAGACAGAGACAGTGCGAGAGAATGCATTCGGTGTTCAATGCTTGTGTATAATTTGTTGGAATTATTATTCCTACTTTAGGCTAATGTAACTTTTTTTAGAATTGACCTAGAGCTTCAGTAAAACCACCATATGAATCCTTAAAGTATCAGGATTCCCTCGAAAAATTTTCATATTGCTAATTGACTTAGATCAGTGTTTTTTTGCCGTTAGGAAAAAATGAGGAAGATTCCTAGATTTTCAAAAATCGATAAAAAAATAGT